TGTGAGCTTTAAGTATATTTACCCCACGGCCGCCCACACCGTGCTGCCTTATAGATACACCAAATATTAGTGCCATTTGCAGCCTCTGTGGCCTGTGTCCTCAGAGGAGGATAGCAGTGGAGAGTGCTCCCTGGTGGCTGAGCAAGACCATGCCCTAGGGACAAAATGTTTTGTAAAGCCAATGACCATGATACAAGGCCATGGTGCAGACAATGATTGGAAATAGTTATGGAAGGACAAAGTTGACTGGCTTCACTGCATTGTACAATAGTACAACGTTCTCATACTAGGTTACATGAGGTAATTCAGGAACAGGAAGGTTTGTCCCTGTGACAGACATGGTGAAAGAGGCGGTGTAGTTAGCTTGTTAGCCTCCACTGTTGTCGGTTGTTAACAATAAAGTTACCACATTTAGGAGCAAGAAATCCCGTGTGCTTCCTTCACATAGTTCGCTAAAATAGTCATGACACTACAACATTGTGTGTATTTGTGACAAGCATAATAGAAATAAACGAATAGATTCAGGAAATAAGTCAATTTGAATGATATATCCTCCAGTATGTGAGCTCCACATGTCACAGTTCCAAATGACACGGTTCAGACACATCCAAGTGCAACTCACCTATCCATCACACAGGAGCCAGTCTGACGCTCAGCATATTCCTCTTCTCATGCAGTCACTCCATCAGTCAGTCAGCTGCACGTCACTCAGCCTCTGCTCTGTGTGAGTGTGACAGAAAGCAGAGATGTCAGGGAACAGGCTGGAGCAGGGAGCTTAGGGCCGTCACGTCAGCCTCAGAGTGACTGATGAGGGGAGCGGGTGACGGGCAGCTGCAGTCTCACCTGAGCCTGCGGGCCTGCCTGGCATTAGCGGCATTGCCATGTTCTCTGAGGGAACCTGTCACTCAGCCGTCACTCACACACATAGCACACATGAAAGAGACTGGCAGAGTACAGTGCGGCTCAGATCGGATCCGTAGGTGGTCCCCCGGTAGTTGAAGGGTGAGTTTCTCCTCCACACTGTTGCTCTGGCAGCTCGTCTCTCGGCCACACACGGACATCAAGGGGCCAACGGCGAGCAGCGCAACATCAAAGTTCTATCCATCAAACGGGTCACCTGTGATGAGAGGGAGCAGAGAGACGTATGCCGCCAGTCTCATCCTCCTCTTCCTCACCGCCATCACTTAGGTCCTGGGTTTTGTGAGAGTGGGTTAGATGCGCGGTACTGTTACATGAGCGATGAGAGAGGCCCCCCCATGGAGCCACCCCGTTATTATTATAGATCCATGAGCCACCCCTATGGGCAGCCATTGTTTTCCTCCAATTTAAGAGCCGTCAATTCGTGTTTGACATTTCTTGACAAGAAAGTGACGTGAAACATACGGAGCGTTCCCCAAAACAAATTAAAGTAACTTGTAAATCACTCACACTGTTGCACGTTGGCGCAGCTGGTTTTGCACTTCACAGCAAGAAGGTCCTGGGTTTGATTCCACCTCCAGACCTTTCTGTGTGGAGTTTGCATGTTCTTCTCATGTCTGCACAGGTTTCCTCCGGGTGCTCCGGGTGTCCCCTACCACTATAAAACAGGTGCAATAGATCTGGCATGCACCTTCTGTGTACAGGGCTACTCCGCTCCCATGTGTGGAGTGAAAGGACTAATGCCCATCACAATTGAAAAACCTCTTGTCCGAGAAAGTGTCGCAAAGTGCTTTGTGTATGTGTGAGAGAGGGTTGGAAATGAATGAGCGTTTGCTTAATCCAATCCCCTGTTCAAAACTTGTGACATGTTTTTCATTTGATAACTGACATGTGTACCTTGTGTTGTGCAGGTTTTGAAAGAAAAAAAAGAAATAATTAGCTAACTTAAGGGGCCATATAAAGATTACTTACTACTTTCTTAAAACTACTCAAATCCCACCAGTTCCTCGCTCTCATCACAGTTAAGTTCTATCTTTTATGAGACTTTTTGTTCAATTTTGCTAAAACTAAAGTCAGTACTTTTCTTCATATTTTGGTTATATGAAGGTGGAAGCAAAATTATCTGGTGCCGTGGCAGACGTTGAGGGGAGCTATCGTGTTTTTGTCCTGGTATAAAACCATGTGAAGGCTGTGCAAACTCTGGTTGTGACGTTTATGCTGTGAATCAATATAAAGAGGCACTGAAGGTCAAATGCATAAACTGAAACTTAACAAAACTGCCTCATGATTCACACACACTTCTTACAAGCACTACCTTGAGAGGATATACATACATTTATATAAAACATTAAGTAACAGTAAGGAAACACTAGTACAATGGGTTTTCTACATCTCAAAAGCACAAACGAACAAAACAATATGCCCGCGCCATTTTGTGTGTCTTTATTGTGGACATGACATTACATCTTTTTGAAATGATGCACAAAAAGTGTAACAGAACTGGCTCAGACGAGGTAGAGCTTTCACATCGGCTTGCTGGCTTGAAAAATGACACAGAATACAAGTTATTAAAAAAACAAAAATCACACAAAACTAAATTCAAATTCTCTGTTTATCCATTTGAAGAATAATAAATACACCAACCATACAACTTATTGAATAATAATGTTTCCTAGGTAAATTAATCAAAAACAAAGAAAAAATAACACGGACACAAATAATATAGAAGGCATGAGAAAAACCCTAGAGAACGCAAACACCTGCCAGCCCCTGTGGGAGGCAAGCTCCACTACTCACTGTTCAGCAAAAACCCGCAAGAACTGAAGCTAGCATCAACAAAACATTCGTTAATAATCTATCCAAGCTAGTAATATGTCAGAAATCACACTTACCGTAAAAATAACAACAAAAAAACCTGGCTATGTTTATTCAACACAAAAAGTTGCATGGTACACTTCATAAACCAGATGTGAATTTATGGAAAGAGATTTGAATTATGAGCGAAAATAATGTTCTCATAGAAGTGGTAGATCTAGGCAATAAAGTTTGAAAGCAGCAACAATGGAAAGTGGAAATAATATTTGGCTTTTTGACCTGATTAGAATGTGCAACTGAAGTGCACAATCTGCATTTTAGCACGCCGTAATGCACTGACCCTATTGCATTTAAATGGAGAAAGTCGTGCTGAATGACTGTGAGTGGGCTTGACTTCAGAATGATATAATAAAAGCTATGAAAAAAAAAAAAAGTTGCAAAAGACAGGCGGTGTTAAAACTAGTCTAAGTGCACTGAAATCCCTTTTGGTTTGTCTACCGCTGCGTATAAAGGGTTTGCTAACTGTATTTCACATGTACAGATCTATCTCACATACCATTGCTCCTGAATCATAGTCGTAATTTTTGTAATTTTTTTTAAGTCACACTTCGGAGTAGAAATTCATAACTGAGGAGGTTGATCTTAAAGGGAATTCTGTACAACATGGTCCTACACTATACGTCGAAAGGCTAGAGTATTTTCAAGTATTCTCACTAGTACTACCCCTATATCTTCAATGTACACTGTGTATTCTCCGTAGGCACACCTCACCACATGCATAACTGGAATGGTGCATTCAGAGTTTCATAAAATATAGCTCTTTGTCTGCTCCCCTCGCACACATCTCTGTCTTCTCCCCGTACGTAAATGGACATGGCTTTTTTTTCAAACCTGGCAATTGTGATGTTCAACACCATTGCAGGTAATTCCGTTTTATTTTTTTGTATTTTTATTTTTTTACTGGGGAACAAAAATAATGTAAAAAATAAAAATAAAAATGAGAGGAAAGAGGTAGGCTAGTATCTGAAGCATCTAAAGCGAGACACTACAGAAAAGTTAGCCGCCTAAAACGTAAGAAGTTCAAATAATGCACATATTTTACATACACGCTCGAGTTAAGGCTGTGATGGCTCTACATTACAAGAACACATGATCATTTACTTTAAAACACTAGAACTGGACCCATCCATATAGTTCAAATCAATAGTTAACCATTTCCTTCTACGCCATTCCAAATAATAGAAATGACTTTCCACACTGAAGCAGACATTTTCAATAGCACACATCGCATAAGGATTAATGACTAATAATAATATTGTCTTTATGGTAATTCCAGTACCAGCTCTTTCCCCTCGGTGTCCCAGCAGTTATGAACAAAAACATTATCGGGCTAGTAATAACCGTACCATAAAACTCTTTTTGCGAACACAAAAAGGTCGTGCTTTCAGTCAGGCACCAGTAGCATCTTGAGGTCACTGCTTTGGTGTCGCAATAATTCCGTAATATGCGGGAGCTACGAAGCCAATCTACCTACGTTCTGATCTCCTCCTCCTCCTAAACGGCCAGTAATTGAACGGCCGTAAAAAGCCGATGCTCATTTATACCGGCTATTAAAAACGTACAGTCTTTTTAATGAGTACTAAAGAGGACGCCCCCATTAGCGCGCACTTCTTTTTCTCTCTCTTTTAGCCAAGTGCTCTAATCAGTGCTGCTTCCAAGTGGCCACTGTGCTCCCAGATGCTGGAGTGGAGAGGGCACAAAAACATGCAGACAGGAGGCAAGTGTCCGGTTTGATTATGTTCAGACAAATAAAAAAAAAAAAAATAAAAACAAAGGCAGGGCAAAAGTTTTTAGAAATTCTGCATTCTGTCACTCCCGCCTTGGTCATTTCATACACATGTTCTAGCACAGATTAAAAAAGAAACAAATCAAGAAAGGGCTGAAATGCAATGTTCAACCAAAAATATAACTTTACATAAGAACCGTGTTGTTCCCAGTGCCCCCGAAATGGTAGAAGAGGTATCCGTTTTTGAATGATGAGAGCTACTATATCCGTAAAGGTGACGTAAACAAGCCGTAAGCACTATAGGTCCACTTTAAGACGAGGGAGCGTATTCAAATAAATCCATTTGTCACATCGACCTGGAATTTCACACGTGAGAAATTCTTCAGACGTCTGCACCAAAGCATTCAGAAATGGTTTTTATTGAGTCCTCCCAAGTCGGTCTGCTAATGATTCCAAAATAGCTTCTGTCTTGAATGATCTCTCAGTGCTGTTGCGGTCTCGGGACATGCTCAGGAGCCGGCCCCACGGGCTCGGCTTCGTCCACTTGTATCACCTGGGTCTCTGGACACTGGCTGTTGTCAAAGGGCATGTGGTGGACACTCTGGACGTGCGTCTTTAGGTTCCCTTTCTGAGAGGCTCGGTATGGGCAGAGTTGGCAGCAGAATGGCCTCTCCCCTAGTGCAGGAGAAAGACAAGAGTTACAAGGGTGTACATAAGGATCAGGTGAAGGTTAAGGTTGTATATATACTTTGGGAATATCGCCTGTGTTCATGTGTCTGAACTGTACCCAATGCAAACAACCTCATTGTTGTTTGGAAGGTGAAAACTAGTAAACTTTTAAATATTGTAGACAGTGTTGGGGGAATACTTATACTTAGGCCCCGTCTACACGTAGCAGGGTATCTCACAAACCGAAGATATTTTCCTACGATCTGGCCTATCATCCACACAAACCCGGAGTTTTCTGTCGATAAAAACGAAGGTTTCTGAAAACTCCGGCCAAAGTGAAGATTTGGGAATTCTCCGGTTATGCGTTTGAGTGTGGACATAAATAACCGGAGTATTCGGCTGTACGTCACTACCAGCGTGCTGCTCTGACGTCACACGCGCGACCTGTGTTTACATCAGAAACAACATGGAGGCCATCAAAACCGCTTTTGTTTTAACGATTGTTCAGGCACTTTTTGCTTGCTTGTTTTTACAAGCTCAAATACTGCTTCATGTTGAAGAGCACAGACGAAGGAGCACTTTAAGGTCGGCTATTTTCCGCCAAATAACCATCCCTCGTCCAAGACATGTTCCTCGTCAAAGACGGCAACGGCAATTTTGGGTCAGACCGGGACGCACTGCCAGCTGGTGGGAGAACTTTGAGATGGAAGTCGTCCTCCCGGAGGAAGGTAGGTTTGTAGGTTTGAAATGTAATTGACAACGCATGTATGCGGTTAGGTGTGGATGCCGTTTTTTAAAAAACCGAGGCTGTGTGGACAGAAGTTTTTTTTTAGGCGGAGGGCGGATTTATAAATGCCCTGCTACGTGTAGACAGGGCCTTAGTTACAGAATACTTGATTTTGCGTAACTTTATCCATAACATGGTCCAATCAGATAATGCAATTTGTGTTATTGTTGATTAGAAAGGGATAAAACGTATGCACATGCAACACTAAAAGTTACTTTAAAAAAATATGTATCTGTTCTTAATTCCTCCTACCAAAACCAAAAGTCATATTATAGTATACAAAATAGAGTTACAATTTTTCTTTTATTCTGAATATGTACTGTACATTACTGGTACATGTATTCTGTTACTCCCCAAAATCCTGTTAAGCATTATAAATAAAGTTTAATGTTGTGTACTTACTAATTACAGTTGATTATTACGATTATCATTTGATTATATTCATTGGTTCCATCAGGAAAATAACAACAACAAAAAAACACATGAATACAGCTGAAAACACTGAAAAAGACAACAGTCAGAGAAAGGAGAAAGGGACACATGATAGTGTTCATGTAAAATCAGGGTAAGATTATGCAGGTCAAAACGGACCTCTCACAACTCATTTTCCACACCTAATTTCACTTAAGACTTTAGCTGGGCTTGTCTGCACTGACCCAGATGGACGGCCTGCTCTCGCTCACTTCTCTGATACTACCATCTGGAGAAAAGCAACAGTCCTACTTTTTACTATGTGTATTTTTCTCAATCAGCCCTCGCACCCCCCATATACCACCCTATACTCTCCGCACACCCTGCTTTAATTAGACTGACCTACAATGGCATAGACACCTCTGCAGCAAAAAGACAAGAATAATAAAATACAAGCAACACACCTGAACAAAACAAATGAGATTGCCATTTAATTGCACCTAATTATCATTTTGATAAATGGAAGAATATCAAAGCGGGAAAACAAATGACTCCCCGCGCCCCTCCCGCACCCAGCTCCCAGTAGAAGAAACAGGGAAATATAGCTGTTATCATACATCATCAGAAACAAAACATAGAGAAAGGGGAGATGGGGGGTGTGAGGTGGAGAGAAAGATAAAAAACAAAAAAAGGTATAATTAATCATAGAAAAAAAATCTAAAATAGTTGGAAAGATGGCGTGAGGTTTGCTACGTGAGAGGAAACTTATAGAAACGCCTGTCCTGGAGGAAACATGGCTGACGGCACCGCAGCAGTACATTATGGTAAAGGTTATGGTCGCCGTAAAGCAGCATCAACAGTACATCTAATTGGACTTGTGCTCCGGGCCTCGTCCCATCATTCATAGGGTGAGGTGAATCTACGTCCGTGCATGTGTGTGATTAATTAAGATGGAAGAGCAGCGTGTGCGAGCCGACTCCACACCAGTGTCAAAGCAGCGCAAATTTACTCCTGACTTACCTCCGTGCCTTATTTCAGCTCCTTGACATACTTGGGAATAACAATGGGTGACGAGCCAACTACTGCGTCTTCCGTGCTTGTCCTGAGCGTGATTCATCTGTTATTTGTCTAACGTGATTTCATATACGTTTGAAATGGTTTTGGATTGCTACTGGGAATGAGCGTTAGGGATGCACAGTTGATCATAATCATATTGAAAGTGTGTTGTTGTTTAATCGCTTTCATTTGCTCATGATTATGTTTAAAGTGAGCCCACTAAACTGGAGCCTGACTGGATTTTTATTTTTATTTAAAGTAGTATTTTATTTATATATGAAGTATTATTTATACAGTAAGATATGGGGACAACAGTTACATTGGACAGACCATATGCACTGCCTTTCGTCTTATAGAAGGACAATGCTAATATTCAACTGTCAGATTTTTCTAATCTATAGCACTTTCCATTTCACAATATAAATATCATGCTTGAAATGTAGTTGATTTCTGATTATTTAACTTCTACTGGAGGTAATATATCTTGAACAATGTGGTGTGTCTATGTCTCTAAAAGTCCTTGTTTTCTCTAATAACATTCTAATAGTCTAATAACATTTGAGAGAGAAAAAAGACCAATAAACTATTACAAAACAACCCATTCATTTCAAAAAAAATTTCTAACATGCTGAATAGGTTTCAAAAGTATCAAAAAAGCCATAATTAAACAATAAAACTTGATTACAGAGAGTACTACAAACATACGTAAAAAGACCAAATTGACATTTCTAGAGCAATTTTCGATAAAAATGTATATGAAAGAACTTTATGGCCCCAGAAAAGTAAAAAAATAAATGGTAAAAAATGGTTTTGAATTGCCTTTTTTTTGTTGAGCAAAACTGAGATTCAAATGTAGTATTGTGACAACACTATTGTTTAAAATGGTAGTTTTATTTAAATCATTGAATTTTGATCACATTTCTATTTTGGGGCCCGAGTAAGTAATGCAGTACTGCACTATACACAGCAAAAGTCAACTACATTTTTTATATGAAATTCAGTACATTTAAACTGTCTTAAAACAATTCCAAGGGATATATTATTTCAATTTTCAACTCTCTTTGAAACATTTTTGCTTGTCCCATTGAAAACCTTTTTACACATTCAAATGTAAATGATATGTTACATATTCAAATGAATATACATTTGACTAATGATTGTTTCCAGATCCATTCAAGAAGTTACTTAAAATTTAGTTAGTTAAAAACATTTACACAATGTTTATTCCGCTCATATTCATATTCTCATATTCTCCACTTCTAAAGTACAATATAGACATCTGTAAATACTTCTGAACCAAGTGCAATTATAGCCCTAGAGTCGATCTTATTTTATTTTATTTTATTTGATGTGTGCAATCTGAGTGCTCTTATTTCCTTCTTTCTCTGCTGTAATGTGCGCAACGATGACACTGACATTTCTCCACTGTGAGACGAATAAAGGTTTATCTTATCTTACAAACTATTTTCTTAACTATAGTACGACGTGCAGAGCGTGATTGGAACTTGAGGTGTTGGAGTTTTCAAAGTCCTAAATGTCAGGTGTGGTTTGATCCAGCGAAAGAATGCAGATGTGAGAGTGCCAGGTGCTGCTGCCAGGTGTGGAGTGTGCCGCACAAGCTTAATAGAAACCCAGGTGAAGGCGGTGTAGAGGAAACACACATGGAGACAGGGGCGTGCCAAGGCTAGACAACAATCATGAGATAAACATGCACTACAGAAGCAAAAAGGGGAAAGCCATGACGGTGCCCAGTGATCAAAGGCATAGTGCCACATACTTGTTTGGGAGTTTCAGAAGCGGTGGCGTGAGTGGCGTCAGTGCCTCTGTGGAGTCCGTTAAAATCAAAGCCAACTGTGGAGGGGGTGAGGAGGGTGGGGGGGGGGGAGGAAGGAAGGAAGGAGGGCATTTGGTTAAAAGCTCCAGCACAACAAGACAAGCACTTATGATTGTTTTTCATTCAATTTCTCCCCCAACCACCACCAGCGAAGCAGCCACCAGCGGATGTAGCGACCCCCCTGGCCCTGTTCCTACTGAATCGAGAGTCGGGGGTGTTAGGCTGGCAGTGATGAAGATGGTGATGATGATGATGCAACCTGGTGGAGGCAAGTCAGTGATTTAATATGACGCATGTTAATCGGGGGGCCCTCGGGGTTGCCTGGCCTTTTCCACATGTGCGCGTCCGTGCCAAAGACAAGCGCAGCTGACGACTATAATTACAGATTTAGTTGGAAGAGCTTTGGCTGTGTATGTGTTTACTATGGGGGTGAAAGGGTGCTGCTGGTGTGGAGGGGAGGGGGGGGGGGGGGGGGGGGTGGTTGCCTACCGCCGCATCACTTACCATTTGGCCTCTGTCACTTAGAATCACAGGATGTGCCACATATCATTCACACTCTCTATAAAGAAGCTACTTATCTCAATGTCGAGTGTGATCACTGCCAGCCCGGCTGATGGACATGACAGTAACAGCTCAGGCAGGACGGGAAGTAAGGGAGAGGCACCAGCGGCAGGCATTCAGAACAGTGGAATCAAGTCACGCTAAGGTTGGTTTAGTAACTTTTCATTTAACAAACTTGTAAATTTAGTTCACACTTGTGGTAGTGATTTCATGATTACAGTAAAAGAAAGTTTTTGCACGGCCAAACAGTTCTCTACAGCTTGTGTATTTGTATGTTGTCTAATATTTCTTTAGTATATGACTTAACTTTGCTTTACAGATCTCTGTATTTGTATGTGTCTTTCTTTTTTGTAATCTCTGTATTATAAATGATATTGCAATATGTAATCAACTGAGACCAAGTCATTTCTTCTGTGGAGCAATGTAATTTCAAAAACTTTCTATATGGTAAGATCTCATTATATTCATCCTTTGTATGAATTTAGTCTATTTTTGGTCTATCAGGGAAGACGTTGAAATGAAGCTGTTGGTGAATGGCAGAGAGACACATGCAAATGGTTCCTGCGGTTGGCACAGACAAATGCAGTTCTGCTTCATTAGAATGCGCAATTCCATCTCTCTAATTGACAAGTGATTAATAATGTATACAATTTGTCACAGGTCAGTATCTGGAGCAAATCATGTTTCAGTTTAAAAAATAGAGACAGCTGCCCAGCCCAGGGCGGGGAAGGACTCCCAGGCTGGCTGTCACACTCAAGCGAACAAAAAGATCGTTTTTGATTTATTTAGGAAAAGGCTGGGAATAAGCAGACATATAGAGGGCTTGATGATGAAATATTGAGGCAAATGTGAATCCCTCCATGCATATTTTCTCTATATCTCATGTGCATGTATCTGGCCTGGATTAATGGCTGCAGGGGAGATGCTACGTGTTCACAGGTGGCATGTGAAGAGTGGCTGTTTGAGAAATGTCTCGGGAAAACATTCATAACAAGTAAGTCAAGCAACTTTGGAGCCGTTCAGAAATGTGCTGCACTTTGTGGTGATGTTCAAAGTGAGTTTACCTGTATGGGACCGCATGTGTGTGCGCAGATGGCTGGGCTGGCTGAAGCTCTTTCCACATTCATGGCAGAAGTATTGTCCTTGTCGCATTAGAGATTGTAACATTCCTGAACACAGACATCAGACAATTAGCAAAGTATAGACAGATCTACAGCACTGAACAAGAGATCTGTGAGTCAGTTTCACAGCATTTCCATGTGATAACTTTCACTAAACTTAAATATTGTCCTGCCCACTGCATTAGTGGTTTAGGCTGAATGAAGACATAAAGAGCTGAATGGGCGAGCGAGTGGGCAGTGGCAAAGGCTGGAGCGCATCAGTAGTGGACTAGTGCCGGCATCATTAGTATGTCTAATGTGTCATTATGAGCGGGCCGCTCCAGGGGCTGGGCTGCAGCTGTCACACAGCATCATCTCACAGGCTGACAGCCAGACACATGCAGCACACACACACGCTGCATAAATTACAGGCAATTAAAACGCTCTGGCTGTGATGTGCCCGCTCCGCTGCCCGCATGTCACATGTCAGGTGAGTGCACGTGGACGCTGTGTTTGGTCCAGAGGACAAAGTGAGGACTGTGGAACAAACACTGCGGCGTGAAGCCACTTCAGCATCTGAGGCAACAGGCCTTTGAAGAAAACGGTTTCTCACTTTAAGGCAAAATCTCCAAAAATCCTTTTAATTATAATGACAAGAAATGAGAAGTTGTGAAAAGTTTGTTTTGAAGTTGTATTATTTTAATGCATTAACCAGATTTAACTCGGTTCAAAAACATTCAAAGTGTAATTGTGCTACTTTTTGGTAAACAAAGCTACATAGCCTAATGGTCTAACTTTCATGGTTAACTTTAAAGCCAACTTAACAACCAAAAGTCTGGCAACCCAACCAACTTCTGACTAATGCAGCTAATGAGAGTTCTGAAAGTATAATGAGGCTCTTTTAAGAAAAAATGCCACCCGGAAATTAATTGTTGCGGGATGTAAGATCTAAACGCAATCGTAAAAGCAGATGCTAATTGGGGAAAAAGCAAACATTTATTTTGAACTCAGTCGTCATAAAAATCTACACAACAATTCGATCACTCAGGGGAAATATGGAATTTGTTTTGATGGCACAGTAAGACAAGAGCAAAGTGAAATGTTAAAATATCTGTCTTCCTGTGACCTCAGGGGGTGATAGATAATCAGCCTGAAGGCAAAACATTAGTTCAACATTTATGTCAAAGAGCGAGTGTGAAATTGATCCGAGGTGAGCGTTTGCGGTGTTCAAGGAGGTCTACACTGCAGCAGCGGTGACAGCGAGTGTGTCTGGCATCTCCACTCCTGGCCTCTGGATACACTCCCTATCCCACAGTCTGCCAGACCTTCTCACCGAGGAACTAATGAAAGACAAGACAGTGCAGGATGCAAAACACAGGCGGACACACGCACCCTACACAGATTACCGAGAGAGGGAGAAAGACACTCAAAAAAGGTCACTTTATAGCCTTTGACTCAAAGGGCTGCGGCGGCTAGTGACGTTATGCGCCTGGACGGGTGACAGCGATGTCAGCGCCTGCTCTGGGGCTGTTGTTTCTGACCCCTGGCTCCACACAGCCCCACTTGACCTCAGATGCAAAAGCAAAAATGGGCAAATAATACTGATGTTTGGTAATGACCATTTCTAAAGCAGCTGGTGGGGTAATTATTCCGTCTCATCTCTCTTTTTTCCTCGTATGCTGCCTCTCTGTGTGCCTCGCCGCACTCCATTCGCATCTGCGCAAGTCTCTCATCAGCAGAGCCGTGACCCAAACTGTTTGTGACAGCTTTCTGGGAGAGTACAGCTACAGTCTATGCCTCGCAGACCTGAGAGTAGCAAAGGTTCTCTCACATCTTTCACAGGAGAAAAAATACACACACTTTGCATCCAAATACCAGGCGCATATGGACGCACAACTACTCGTGCAGCCTGCCCCAGATACAGCCTTTTAACATGGCTCATAAACCTGCATGCAGCCCTGTTTAGATTATTCAAAGCACTGTCAGAACACAGGAGCGAAAGTGTCTGTCAATCTTGCTCTGCCAGATGGCGAGTTCGAGTGAGAGCCGACAGTCTGCTCAGGAGGCTAATAGTGTTATATGTGGATGTGTAATTGCAGGTGTCTTGTCCCAGTTTAGGCTGTCAAGTCTCATCAATGTTGTTCATAACAGCTTGAATTAAGACAAGAGTAGCCTCCTGTCTGTATTTTAACATAATTACCTAAGCTATTAGGTTTTGTAATATTAAAGTACTTTTACACTAGAAAAAATAAATGTGTGTGGATTCTACCTGCAGGGCCAAATCTAGCTTTGGTTCAAACCAATAAATATTATTGTTGTTCAGGAGTTCAAACTACAGTTCCTTATTTCGCCACTGGAGGGCAGTAGCTATTTCAAGCCCCATACTTGATATACTGTCGTGGATACTGTATGTACAAGACTGAAACCAACCTGCTGTGCCAGAATAGTAATACCTGTTATTATTACGTACTTTTTAAAAGGCTTTATATATGAACATTAATGTGCAGTTTGTCAGAAAGAATGATAACAAAGAATAAATGATTGACCTATAAATCATTACTGATATTGGCCAATTTGTCCTTATAATTCTAGTATAGTTACTGGTTGCCTTCTGTACCGCAGGGCAGCTGTGGCTACAGGAGTAGTTTATCATCACCGTTTATGGAGTGAATTAATCATGACATGTAAAGCGTCTTTGAGTGTCCAAAAAAGCGCTATATAAAACCGATGCATTATTATTATTATTATTTTAGTCTAGCCAACTGGTCGGACAACAATAATGCTATTCAACTCACAATTCTGCTCTCTGCATATTTTCCTAAAATATTTTCTGTCTGATTAGATTTGTTTAGTTTTGATGTTGGTATCATATCTCTAATATTAAAGAAATAACAAATACAGTACATAAATGTTGTTACCTGTGGGATCCAAGAGGCCACTGGCTGCTCCCCAGCGATGATATAGTGCTGCCAATTCATGTGGGCTGTAATTCTTAAGAAAGCTGAGGATATCTGATGGCATCTCTACACCTGCCTCAGATACGGACTCGGGTCTGGCCTCTTTGTGACCATCTGAAGCCGAAGCAGTTGAGGGGTTCTGCTGTGCTCCTGCTTGGACCTGCCCGGGACCATAACTGCGTGTTGAGCTGTGAGTGAAAGCGCTACTAGGCCTTGTAGCATTAGCCCGGCTTTGGGTGTGAGAGCTGGAGAAGGGCTGTTGATGGGACCCTCTCGCTCTGTTGTAGTCCACTAGTGCATGTTTATTGGTCAGCATGTACCCTAACCCCTCCTGAGGCATCACATAGCGTTCATTTGTCCGTGGGCCCTGAGTTGAGCTGGAGCTGGGTTTTGAAGAACGCAATAAGGAGTTTGCACTTTTCTCCAAAGACGAAGAGGAAGATATGCGAGGGTAAATATTATCTGCTTTGGATTTGAACTGAGACTGATGACTCTGATCTGGTGTGGCTCTTGTGTTGCTGGTGCTGCCCCCTTGTGGACGTATAGGAAGCCTACCACTTTGACTTGACAACGTCTTTTTGGAAAATGCAGACGTTGACGACGTGGGTAAAGTGGAATTGCTGCTGGGTCTGCTTTTCTTTATTGGTTCATTTGGATGATTTGGTGGCTGGGTACGCTTTGATCTCGACAGCGGAGTCAAAGGTGGGCACTCCTTTCCTTCTAGAACAGGGGGTGGGCCTGTGCGTCTCCTCCAGGACATCGAGTTCTCTTTGGAGCTTTTAGGGATGTTTTTGGGGGCCCACTTGGGAGCTAGATTTGAGCAACTGCTGTTTATGCGGTGTGCCACAGTCTGGTGCATCCACAGGACCTCAGGGTAGCGGGTGGAGTGGGAGCAGAAAGAGCACTTATGGCTGGGTAGGTTCTTCCTGTCCATCGCCATGGTGGTTGTACCCCTATGTTCCTCTGTGCGAACACACAAATCTACAGGCATTGAGCTTGGGTCGAGTGGAGAGGAAGTCAGGGAAAGGTCAGTGGATGAGGAAACAGAGTTGTTCATGCCATGAAGAAGTGATTTCTTTAGTTTGGAGAAGTCACTGGGGGTCCCTCGGTCAGTGCTGGAGCTCAGGCTGGAGCTGTCATCATGGGAACTTGAGTGCTGGACATGAAGATGAGTCTTGTAAGCACTGGATTCAGTAGTAACAAAATCGCACAGGCTGCAGATGAAGGGCTTCACATCTGTGGGAGAGAGATATCAAAACAGAAAGGTCAGAAAGAGAAGTGTATGAGCTCCTGCTGCTAAAAAGGCAAAAGTCAGAGCTCATTACTTCACAGCAATGTGTCATTGTCATACAATCATCTAAGGGTTGTTCCCTAAATCACCACCAGGGCGCAGCATTAAACAATATAACATTTAACTCTCGCAGGAGCTCACATAAAAAATAAAAATAAACTACATTCGAAATATATGTAATAAAATATATATTACTAAAAGTTGTGGGATTGTTTAATGTATAAGCCTACTACTTTAGAATGTACAATATTAATGATCTTGATACCAGTGATAGGACTGAAAAAAAGATATATATATATATATATATTTTTTTTTTTACCCCCATTAATCAGCCGTTATATAACCTGTTAAAAAATGTGTGTATTTGTTTGTGGAACAGTTATTTATCCTGCAGGAAACTACAAAACATATTTATATGGGTAAATGTTTAAATGTATTTTGATGTTTGGGGTTGAAATCACCCAGTGACTATCAAGTCCCAATCTCGAGTTGAAATCATAGACTCTACAATAGCAATATTTCATATCAACTTGCAAATAATTCTCCCTTTAAACGAGTGTTGGTGTAGGTGCAACCTGCTCCCACAAGATGGCAGACACTATTAGATGTGTACATTTGTTCTGGGAGGTTTCTAGTTTCTACTGCGATAACAGTAGTGATATTAGTTGAGAGTAAAATAAGTTTGTCACTGGTAATAGGAAATATGAATATATTTTAATCTATTTTAATCCAAACCTTAGTGTCTTGACCACCATACAGTCTATGGTTAAACCATATACAGTATGTTTCATATTTGTTTTTTTCTATTGGAAACAATCCCCGCTTAGACCACCAAGGTCAACTTCTAAATTACTACGAGGAAGCTACATTTTCTAATTTATAAAACCGATTGATAAAAAAAAAGATTGACAATCCATATGAACCTCAAAAACAACAATAGCATAGCTAGCGGTATTTACATACGTATATCTCTGTCCTCTGATTGTCTTTTCCCTGTTGCCTGCATTTCAATCCACTGGGAGGAACTATAAATAACAAATCCTTTAGACATCAGTCTGCCTGACTCCCTCACTGGTAAGAAGGGATGAGAGACAAGCAAGGTGTCTCTCACAATAACCAGAGACAGGATAATGATTACTTCACTTTTACGAGATGAAATTTATACTCATCCAACATGACATTACTTAGATTGAATATGGGTTTCATTAATATTATCATTATTAGAAATACAACACTATTACACATTGAATTGAATCACTTGATTTTGTCGACCATTAAACGTAAACATCCAGACATTGTTTTCTAAATGTGACAAAAAATAAGCAAAAAGCATATTCACACAGAGATAAGGGGCGCGGGGAGTTTCCTGAGACAGGAAGACTTTAAATAGCACACAGCTCGATCAAGCCTGAAGAAACGCAGTGGCTATTTTTGAAAGTCTCTACTAACAAGGAAGAGTGGAAACAATCACTTCCAAGCACAGTACGCTAACGGTCTGGTACAGTAAGTGCAGCTACAGTAGATGAAAGAGTATGTCATGTATTAACACTTTATCCAGTGATAATGATACAGCTGCTTCTGACCTTGTATCACTTTTTCTCTGTTTATTGGTTGTAGAGCTGAAAAAATGAAAAGAATTCAAAAAATGCATTGGGCTCATGTCATGGGAAGTACATGTTAATTCTAGATACATTTTCACAGAATTCTGATACAACTATTTAACCAAGAAAGGGAACAGACTTTTGCAAATATGTCCATTAACTTGATTTTGTAAGTGTGAAACTGCACAGCACAGAAATCACATGTAATTCTCATGTTGAACCACACGAGGGCTTGTTCTCACAGCGACAGGCCTGGACCCACACAAAGCACGTTTTATGAACAGATGTTGACTACAGAGACAAAGTGAGAGGTCCTGTGTGGGAGTCCAGGAAAGTGCCAGTCATTTCATTGGGAAGTGTTATAAAAAGTGCATTTGTTTTTGTAGAGCTAATCAACTTGACAAATGTAATAATACTATTTGATTTATGTAAGCATTTATACATGCAGATTGACCTATGAAGGCCAATCTGTAATAAACACAACTGAATGGCCCTGTCAGAGAGAAATACACAGTGGATATGAGATTTTTTTTTTTTATCTAACATAGCAACAGTAGAAGCAAAAAATCACCTGCATGGTTCCATGGAGTTTTATGTAACAAAAGAAACAAGATTTCTTTTATCTAAACTAAAAGGAGGTGGTCCTTTTGCGCAGATTCTTTGGCCAATGCTTTAACAACTTTTTGGCCAACAAATGAACTGGGGGTTTGACAAATTTGTTTTACGCATCTAAAGAGGCTGTAACTGACTATTTGTACATGCAAAAGTGGTTTTCTCCCACGGCAAATGTAAATAATAGTTCACCCACTGCCTTCATAATTTGATAAACGACCATTTTTAAGTCATAGGTCTCTTCAAGCTGGTAACTGGGTAGAACCTACTTTAAACCCACAAATAATACATTTGTAATTAAATACATTAAATATGTGTTTTATTTCTTTTTCTAAGACAGCATGTTCTGATATCAATTGTTCGTATACTTTCAGCCATAAACTGATTAAAATATCCTCCTAAACTCACCCCAGTGAATAATTAGTAAGAGAGGAAACTGCTAATGATGTTTATATCCATTTTGCAGCACTCCTTTAAATGAGAGTTACAACTAATACTACTTTACTTTATTTCCATACCTGTTATCTCACCGACAGATCCCGTTTCAGAGGCCTCTTGTCCCAGTGCTGGAGGAGAGTCCCCGTATCCCGGGGTGCTGGGTCGACTTGTGGACCCTGACTCTGGCTCACTGTTGGAGCCACAGCGATCCCGTTTTGTGCCGCCGTCTTTTCCCCATGACGCTCTGCCGCCTCTGTCCTTGCTGTGGACCTTCTGATGGAGAATCATTTGGTGGCGACTGCGGAACGCCTTCCCGCACTCCGAGCACTCGTTGACCTTGGAGTGAGCCGGAGACTGGGCCGGTCGTTTCCGCTCTTGTCGAGATGCAGGCCTGTACTCCGAGTCACTGAGACTATCTGGGGTTCTGTCCCCTGAAGAGGCTTGGCTGCCCTGCCCGGAGCTGCTGCGTCTTCCTGGGCCTTTCTTCCCCTGACCCTGCAACACATAACGGCTGCTGTCTTTCGCATACACCGCGGCAGATGAACCCAAAGCCTCCTCCGCATTGCTTACTCCTCCGTTAGATGTCTTATGGCTAAGCTCTACAGGTTCCACCACCTTGCCTTTCGTGGCTAACTGCCAAGCCTGATAGCTGCAAACAGGGTCAAGCTCTGGAATCCTCTGACCCAGCGACACCTTCTCTTCAGGTTCTTTCTCTTCATTCTGCGCATTATCTTCTACAGGTTTGAGTCTTAAGTAGTCAAGCAGACATCTCTTAGCAGCTGGAACATCCTCTTCACAAGGCCTGCTCTGGTTTTGAGATTTCTTTCCGTAATTAAAACTGTGAACTTTGTCATGCGCCCGCAGGCTTTCTTTAGTATGAAAAAGGTTACCACATTTGGGACACATTTGATAGATGGCTGTAACGGAGGACGCGACTTCAGGGTCTTGTGCCACATCGTTGATAGTGACAGGATGCTCCGCAGAGTCGGCTCTTGATCGCGATCTGGATTTCGCGTTGTGAGTTTTCATGTGAGACTTAAGGAACCAGGCCTCGCGAAACCGGCGTCCGCAGATCCGGCAGCAGTGGTCGAAAACCCCGGCGTGTTTTTTCATATGCGCCTTTAGGAACCAGGCCTGGGTGAAAACTTGCCCGCAGGTCTCACAGGGAAAGCTACCATCATCTTGAGATGGCGCTGCATCTGGTTCAGACAAGGGCTCTTCCTTTACAATTGATTCGTCTTCTGTATCTGCTGTAATGTGAACTTTCTCTATGTGGCTCAGCAGTTGGTCTTCCCTCTGTGCTTCAAAACCGCACAGGCGACAACAAAAAGGCCGCTGATCTGAAGTAGATTTTTCTCGTTTCAAACTCCTCACAGGCAACTTCCTACGGCTCTCCTCTGTCACGTTACCATTGATCATTTTGTTACATGCTGAACTGCTTTTAGTCGGGCTTGTTCCCCCGTCAAGGCCCTCTGAAACGCTCATCTCCTCCTCTTCCCCCCCATCGTCCTCGTTTGAATGGTAAGTAGAGAGAGTCCCGAGATTATGGCTGCGGATGTGCACTTTGAGGTTGCCCTTCTGGGATGCCCTGTGGTCGCAGTAGGGGCACTTGTAGGGTCGTGCCCCTGTGTGCCGTCTCATGTGCTGGGACAGAGAGCTGAGGAAGGGGAAACTGCGTCCGCACACGTTGCAGTTGAATGAACCGGGCCCTTTTTCATTCGAGCCATCTTCACTTTCGGAAATGGCCTTATCATCCACTATTTTCTTGCTTTCCATTTTCATCACGTCCACACTGTCCCTAAGTTTCATAACAGAAGACATCTTTTTGGCCCTTTTAAAAGCTCAAATGTAAATCTACTGTTATCTGCAGCTCATCTAGAAATGTTCCAGGCACCTCTAAATGTCAAACAGTGGTCTTCATTTCATTTATGTGCAATTAGCTGCTTGTTTGAAATCCATTCAAGTCTTCATCGTGTCAGAATGCGTTGTGCACTACATCCTCATCTTCCCTTCATTCCATTCATTATAAAGGGTTTCTGCAGGAAGTGCCCCACCTGAAAATAAAAACAGAGGAAAAAAAGTTAGTTGTCATAAAACAACAAATGTCTCACAATCAAAGCTATTCATATTCATCATCTTTGCTAAAGCACTCTGTGTAGTTGCAGGTTGGCTACTTTTTCACTATTCTTTTATTTATTTATTTCTGTTATTGATTTTAGTAGCCCCTTGATCTCTTATAACAATTCAGGGCTCCACTCTCTTTATGAAAAATCATTTATGCCTTAAGGGTTAAGCTTTGTCAACTCAATGAAAAGTGCATTTTGTATACCCGCATTTTTATTTCATGTATACATCTTGCATGACAACTACTACTATCATGACTACTACTACTATTACTAATACGACTAGTACTACTATTACTGTTACAACTACTACAGCACACATTTGTGACAGAGGCAGAACCACGCACGGCAACATAGCGGCTGAGTCGACACTTTACACAATTAGAGTGAGGGCTGGGGGTTTGCATGTAGTTGAGAGGTGGGGAGAGGGGAGGGGGGAGTATTCACATCAGCAAGATCAGCAGCAGTGCCACCATATTCTCTCCCCCAGCAACGGCGCTCCTCTCTACAGACACTATCACATGACAGGGATCTTCAACACAAAACAGGAAGTGGCTCTCAGACAGTTAGCTCTGGTTCACAAACTCTAGCAGAATGAGGTCACACCAAGATTCAACGACAAAATAGAACAAAAAAGTGAAGGAAGTTGCCTTTTTTTGAAACAGTATACAGGTGTTTGACGCACATGCCGCACAAAGTAAAGTTTTTCTATTTCATTTAATGGTTTATTTTGCAATGTGTAAAATAATAACTATGCATCTTTTCACTTGAATAATTCATTTATAATATTCAAATGGATTGGCAAGCCCCTGGATATGTTCTGCCCGCCTTCTGTTGACAGAAAAATAGAGGATGTGTTTAAATTATGCATTGATGTAGGTCTTAATCTCTTTACAAGAAGCACTTAGAGAATAAACCACATCTTTATTCTTTCCTCCTTGTCAGGTCGGTCGGCTCGTTAAAACATCCTTGTATACGTGTGTTCCATATTTGTTGGCCCGTTTTCAAGAACAAACTTCACAGCAGCAGCTACAGTGGAAAGCCTTCACCATCAAAGCCGCGAAACATAAAAGGAGATTTAGTTGGGAAAGCGTAGTATTCATTTCAGCTGATGAGAACGACTGAAACCGTGGTCTACGTGAAATGTGACTGACAGCATTATTACAGGCTATTATATAAAGTGCCAAGGCCCATAAGCTGAGTTACAGCCAGCATATAATTATAACTGGATAATTGATCATAATCAGGGGAGGATAAGGTGGTGGTGGAGGAGGGCAGTTAGTGCAAGAACAATCATATGTCTTAAATCCGGGCAGTGAAAATGACTACCCTGCACCTATCTATCCACCAGTGATTTACACTATTGAAATCAGCCTGGACTCTTTGGAGTGCTTTGTAAGATACGGCTTGCGAGGCGCTTCTCACGCCAGAAGTGCAGTTTTGACAGATCCCACTGACATAAAAAGAGCTATAATGTACAATTACACTGTCAAGTTTAAACCTATTTTGACTAAAATGCCCCTTATTACAGTAATTGGCCAATAGCACAATATTATCACATTTGTTTTAACGTGCTATATTGGAGAAATATGTAATTGGATGAAAGCAACACACAAACAAACGAAAGTAGTTATATGCAAATGTGAACAACTAGTGTTTATCATAAGGTGTTAACATTTAATAGAATTACATGTAATATTAATCAATGACAGAACATAAGGTGACATAGATAACTGTCCCATTCATCTGGCCACTTAACACCCCTCCTCCATCTGCTCAGCCACCCGTCTCCACATCGCTCAGTTCCTCATTAATACTTAGTGCTTCCCTCCAGTTCTGCCGCTAAAAACAGTGGATAATGATCTTATTTCCTATTAAATGGCCTTCTCGATTGGGGGTCAAGGGGGCGGGGGGGGCGCTGTCTTTTCAATGCTGGGCCTGTCATCCAGCAGACAGTCACATGTGCAAATTGAAATGTAATAAGATTAGTCAGCACAAGGGAAACAATGCCCTCTTGGTCATATAGGGGCAACAAAGATGTAATAATGCCCATATACCATGACATCGGAAACATCAGCGACATGAACTCTGTGAAGAGAAATGCATACGTCTCCAAAAGGCGTTCAAGAACAGTTCAAGTTGACTTTGTGAAGCTAGTTCGTCATTGACTTCTTACAGCTAATTAACCTCTCACACAGGAAAATGAATATAATAGAGAGTGGGTTAGAGCGGAGAATGGCTGCTCACTTCAGGAGATAAGGATTTGATGCAACTATTACATGGAGTGCAAAATAGGTGCATGAGGGAGATTTAGATTTTCGTGTTGAGATTCAAGCAAAAGAAAAATACGAACAATAAACTAATAACATGGCTGTTTCAACAACCTGTTAACTTTGAGCAAGGGATTTGTATTATTATTATTATTAGTATTATACATGGTTATGATTATAATACTGATCATGTAATATTTACAGCTAGTTAAGCTAGTTAAGAAACATAGATACTACTTATTTTGTATATTTTTATGTGCTCCCTGTGTGCTCTTACTACTGTCCTGTATGTGCGCTAAAACATCAACATTTCCCCACTGTGGGATGAAAAAAGGAACTCTTAACTTTTCCTAAATTATATTATTATTGCCGTCATTGAATGGGCATTAGTGTACCATGTTTATTTTTAACATAGCAGGAGAAGCACAACATGAAGAATACATCCATCCATTTTCTTCCGCTTTATCCGTTGCCAGGTCACCGGGCAGCAGTCTAAGCGGAGACGCTTTGTCCAGCTCATCTAGGGGAATCCCGAGGCGTTGCTAGGTAGGGGCCTCCTTAGCTGGCTCCTCTCAATGTGGAAAAACAGCGGCTCTACTTCAAGCTCCTGAGCTACTAAGCTCTACACCCTGTTCTTAAGTGTTCCTAATTCGTAAGTGATATTTGGAACACACACTCAGCCTTCCTGAATAGAGGGATCACCACCTCGGTCTGCCGATTGGGAGGCACATCTCCGATTGCCATGCGATCTGGCAGAGATACATAAAGATAGATTTGGATTTTCTGGATTGTGCTGGCTGTGGTGGCTGCACCATAGCCTTTTTTCTTGTAAAAAGATTGGTGGAACACACCAGGACTTCCTGCCTTGATATAAGTATAAAAAAATGCCTATATATGGTACTACTAATAAACGCCCATGGTTGGAAACTATAACTGAAGAATTTATTGTACTTCCTAAATAAGCGAACATACAAGAATTTGAAAAAAGGGTATCAGAGCAAGATTGCATAAATGGGCAAAACTCCTGTTATCATAATTTTCAACATTGTTTGGTTTCACTCATGGCCTTTTCAAACTAATCTGTTAATGACGCCAGTGTTGAATGAAAACAAGGTCTTTTCTTCACTGTGTATGTTTAGGAGCTGCAGTTCTGCACAGACCGGACCAAAGCAAGAGGAGGAAATCCGCTGTTATTTTCCCACTCATCCCTTCACTTCAGACTTGCTATTTCTGATGTTAACATCTGGACTGGGTCTCTAGTGTCAAGAAACGTGTTCATGTGAGAACACAAGTGTTTACAGCTGCAAGAACTAATAAAGTGTTTTACATCCAAATAAACATTACAAACAAACAGTAATGTTGTATTTTAGTAGTTTAAGTGATTACTGATAGGCTTATCAAAAGTCACTAAAACTACTAACTCCAGGTAAAAGTTGACAAACTACTCGACAAAAAATAAAATAAAAAATGCATACTCAAAATATTAATTAATTATGAATAAGTCATACTAGCATTGTAATCATATACAGAAATGTCCCCACTGTTAGACGAATAAAGGTCTCTTATCTTATCTTAAATATTGATCTAAATAATGTAAGAGAAACAATTCCCATGGTACTAAATCTCGTAATATTGATGTGGGCTCTTCCCCTTTATGTAACGCCACTGTAAACAAGTTCACTCCAAAGACCTCGCTCAGATGACAGGTCACGTTGGCAAAAACAGGTGGCAGATTTTGTTTTCAATTAAGAAAAAATGCCGGTGCAATGCAACCCAATCGAATGTGTAACACTGATATGAAAGCAGCAGAAGTAAATATGTTATACTTTAGGGAAAACTAAAACCCCCTTTTCTTGTTCCAAATGCTTTTAAGACTGTAAAAAATGTTTGCCCTATATCAGAAAATTATACTTTACTTTTCCTGGGACATTACAGATATGAAGTATGGCCAACACCCCCACCCTCCTTTGTTCTAATGATTTTAGGGGGACCTCCTCTGTCAATCTATAACAGGCATGCTATCTACTGACATACACCAAGGATTAGAATGTTACGAATAAGTGAAAAACTGTATTTATGTTTTGGTTTTTTACACATTGAGTGAAATAAAATAAATATATATATCTATATACATATTTTATATATATATATATATATATATGTATAAATAATATATATATAATATATATATATATATATATATATATATATATATATATATATATATATATATATATATATATGTATAAATATATATATATATATATAATGTAATGTATATGGTAATGTCTGCTGTAATGTCTTTCTTATCTGGACTTCGTGTCTGTAATAAAGTTTAATAATATATCAATCAATATATATTTTTTTTTTACTTTCTGAAATTTCTTTTACTTAACAGTCAATTATTGCGTCCTGT